TAAGACATTAAACTTGGCCTTTTTATTGCTTGAGGCAGTATCTAGAGAGATCATCATGGTTATTATGGCCAATGTTGTGGTAAAAATAGGGTTTGATGTTGAAGGCTATGCGGAGATGATAGCTCTGTGCGCAGTAACTGATGCCTTTGTCCTTGCAGTTGTCAGCTTACCAGGCTGATTCATTCGCTGTAGGAGTGCTTGGAGGTTATGCAGAGGATAACAGGAGCAATCTCTTATCTGCTGTAATTTGGTTTGGGGACCTAACTTTCACAGGATTGCAGAATGATTGGAAGGAACCTCTGATATTGACTAGTCCAACTTCCCTGCTCGATGCAGGGTGAGCTAGAGCACGTTACCCAGAGCCATATCCAGTCAGGTTTTGAATATCTCCAAGGATTGAGTTTCCATAAGATTTCTGGGCAACTTGTTCCAATGTTCAGTCACCCTTAGAGTAAGCAAGTTTTCTCTTGTGTTTGAATGGAACTTCTTGTGTCTCAATGCAAGCAAATGTGCCTTGTGCTTGCCTCTTGTCCTTTTGTTGGATACCACTGTCTGATTCTGTCTTCTTTCCATCCTCCTATAACATATAAACATTCATAAGATCTTTCTTGAGCCTTCTCTTCTCCAGGCTAAATAATCCAAATTTTCTTAGTCTCTTCTTGTATGTCAGATGCTCTAGTCCCTTATCTTCTCTCTGGCCTTTTGCTGGACTCACTTCAGTAAGTCCATGTCTGTCTTGTGCTGGGAAGTCCAGCATTTGACCCAGCACTCCAGATGTGTCTCCCCAATGCTGAATAGAGGGGAAGAGTCACCGCTTTGATCTGCTGTTCCCAGGAAGCTATTGGCCTTCCTTGTCATTGAGGACACATTGCTAGCTTATAGTCACCATTTTGTCCACCAGGACCCATTTTCTCCAAAGCTGCTTTCCAGCCTGTACTGGTACATGGAGTTGTTCCTCCCCAGAGACAGCATTTTGCATTTCCCTTTGTTGAACTTTGAGATTCCTGTTGGCCGAAATTTCCAGCCTGTCAAGGCCCCTTTCAGTGGCAGCCCAACCATCCCATGTATCAACCACTCCTCCCAGTTTGGCTGGAAATTTGCTGATGGTGCAGCCTGTTCCATTATCCAGGTCATTAATGAAGATAGAAAACATTATCGGCACCAGTATTGGCCCAGAGGTATACCACTGGTGACTGGCCTCCAGCTGAACTTTGTACCACTGATGATAACCCTCTAAGCCTGCCTGTTCAGCCAGTTTTCAGTCCACCTTACTGTCCTCTTACATAGTCTGTACTTCCTTCAGTTTGCCAGTGAGGATGGGATGGGAGACAGCATTGAAAGCCTTACTAAAGTCAAGATGAGCAACATCCACTGCTCCCCCTCATCCACCAAGCTGATCATCTCAGCATAGAAAGCAGTCAGGTTGGTTAAGTGTGATGTCAGTGTGAAGAGGTTCCCCGTCTATCACGGAAGATGACTGAAGTAGCTTTTCTGTTACCTTGCTAAAATGCTTTCTAAGATTAGATTTGTAACATATAGACCACTAATAGAAATTTAATAAAGCTACTACTAATTAACATCTTAACATATCAGTTATGCTGCCAGACAGCCTGTAGTACAGGATCTGAAAATGAGTATGGGCCTGTTAAATATAGGGTGTTGTATGGAAAGATCTGGTGACCAGAGTCCCTATTATGCCACAGAATGACTACAGAATTGTCTCCCATCCGAATTTGCCCGTGTGTCTTTCTACTAACCCAGTAGCTATTTTTAGTGTCCTCGATATAAATCCACCAGTTAGTGTCATCTTTAGCTCATTTATTTTCATGTCTCTAAAGAAAGAGGCTGATACTTGGGATTTCTTTTCACATGAATCTTTGAATCTCAGACAACCTATTGTAGGAATTTGTACCACAAAATATGAATATATTTTGTAATGAATCTGGACTTGAGTGAGCCTGCCTTTTCCAGTCTTGCATTGCGGTGATATAAACTACCTGCTTGGCAACAGCTCTGGGAGTTAATAAAGTTTCTGTGGTAAACTATGAGAGGCCTGAGAATTTCAAACTAAAGTTATTGCACCAGTAACTCAGAAAAGCAATTCCTAAAACTCCTGGCACATTTATCCAGAGGGTTAGCAGTAGCACAGAAATGGAAATCATTGTTGAGAGCCACTGCGTACTTGGAATTAAAATCCATCAGTCTTCTGAAGCTGAGGAGAACGATTTTCATGACATACAGATGCCTCTGTATTTCATAACCAAAATTAAATCTAGGGTGGTTTTTTACTCTAAATTTGTATCCTCTGATCCCTGTAATATACCTAACTTGAGATGACATCAAAAGAAATAACTCATACAGAAGCTAGCATTTAAAATACTGTCAATGGTTTATTTTATTTAATTTCAGTAAAAGCTGATTTATCTCCTTGGGGGAGGGGGACAGAAAAGGAGCGAGGATGCCAACATGCCCTTCTCAAGCGGGAACCTCGAGCACAGAAGTCAGAAGATGAGATGTGGAAATGAAAATAACTGTAAACAAAAAACGAAACTTAGCAGTCTAGTTTCACTCTTCTTGCTGGAAAAGGAGGGAGGAAGAAACCTAGTAAATCATTAAAGAGCAGCGTTTGCTTTTCTGAGTTGTGAGTTGAACTGTGTGAATTGTCAGCAGGGTCTTTATGCAGCCCTTTGCTTTAGGTCCTTAACATACCTGTTGGCAGCTTCCTTGGCTGCTGGGAATTTTGTCCATTTCAGTGCAGCACAGTGACACTGTTGTGTCCTTCATGAGATAAACAGTGTGTCTGCCTCTCGAGCAAAGAAAAGTCTCCTAGCTGGTGGCAGTACAGGGTCTGCGATTTGGGATTGATCCATGCTTGTAGCAGGCATAAGTGGTGGTTGGTTGATGCAAACGTCATACACATACGTTGTTACATTTCCTTTCAGAAGTGTGTGTCTTAACTTGATAACATCTAAACTTTGGCCTACTTCTGGAGAAAGAGGTTCTTGTTACGGATGCCAGATAAACTGTGTAGTTTCTGTCGTTCAGAACATCTGTTCCAGTGGGTTCTCTTCCCCAAGAAAAATGTTGGCTTGTGCACAGCCAATGTACAAGCACAAACCCATGCACCGGGGGCGATGGGGATACTTAATGAGGAAACATTTTTGTAAGAACAATGAAAAAAATCATAGAATCGTTGGGGTTGGAAACGACCTTTAAGATCATAAAGTCCAGCTGTTAACATAGCACTGCCAAGTCCAACCACTAAACCATGTCCCTAAGCACCAATATCTACATGTATTTTAAATACCTCCAGGGATGGTGACTCAACGACTTCCCTGGGCAGCCTGTTCCAATGATTGACAACCCCTTTGGTGAAGAAATTTTACCTAATATCCATTCTAAACCTCCCCTGCCACAACTTGAGGCCATTTCCTCTTGTCCTATCACTTGTTACTCGGGAGAAGAGACCAACACACACTTGGCTACAACCCCCTGGCAGGTAGTGGTAGTGAGCAATAGGGTCTCCCCTCAGCCTCCTTTTCTCCAGGCTAAACAACCCCAGTTCCCTCAGCCACTCCTCATACGACTTGTGCTCTAGACCCTTCACCAGCTGCATTGCTCTGTTGCCTCTGGCCCATTATGTCAACTAGAAATAGATGCAGTCTTCCTCAAAAATGCTTAATATTGGTGTTTGAAAGCAACTTAAGAAAACACAGTAAGTTTTTGTTCTCATCTTTTAAAAATTGCAGCTGAAGCTGTAAAGAGCATTTCTTAATAGGCTTTATTAGACCCCTTTTGTCTTGTTTGGCTCCAGCTGACCAGTTACAGTACAAAGATCTTTTTTCTTTGGTGCTGCATTTTTTTCTGTAACAGAAGAGAAATGTGAAAAAGTGGATTATTAGTGACTGAGTGGCTTTGCAGAATCTCTCATCTCTGATCATGTTTATGGTTAGCCAGCAGGCACTGAATAAAGAGGGGTGAAATGAGTGATGGGCTCTGTATTGTTGCCAAAGTAATACATACCTCTTGGGAAGCAGCCCTTCACAAATGGTGTCAACAAGTGGTTTTATTGGCATCCTGTGCCCAAGGATGAAAGGTGCAGTGGGCCAGAGCATGTTATCATACAAGTATTTTATTCCTTAAAGTTTTTCTTGCAGATCAGAATACCAGTATATTGGGGAAAAGACAGATACTTACATTTTTACAGTCTGCCTTAGACATGTCTTGCTGGATACAGAACATCTGAAAGTTAGATCAGAGGGCAATGCGTAAGAGCTGAGGGTCTAGGAGTAGTTCTTGTGCTGCCTGACAGGGTGTTCCAGGTGGTCAGAGAAAGTGGACATTAAAGACAGCCAGGCCTTAATCTCTTTTAGCATCTCAGAGAGTAAATTAAGCTCATACAGACTTCTTGTTCTTATTTACTCTTGGCAACAAGCCAACTAATTTGAAACACTCTTGGAGTGTGGATGCTAGTCTCCAGGGCTGCTAATCCAGTTGCTTAGTTCTTTCATTTACTCAGTGGGACTTTTAGTTTGTTTGTTTGGTTTAGTTGTAGTGCTTCATGCACAGGTAGATGTTCCAGCCAGCTAGATTAGAAGCAAAGTGTGTTACCTCAACCAGCGACGCAGTGCTGGGAATTACAGCTATTGTGCAAGCCCTGGAGACTGGCTTATTGCCTGAGTGACTAAGAGACACGGCTAGTAAGAAGCAGGAGGAGTGATATTTAGAGGAGATGTGCATGTGTGCTACAGATTTCACAGCTTGCTCTGCAAAGAAAGTTAGGCCTCTCTTAAACAGGAGGCAGACATCTGTGAGAAATCCGGGAGCACAGAAGTGTGACAGAAGAGAGCAGTAAGCTGCTATTTACCTGGGTTTTCCCACGTCTTAGCTGGGTGGAAATCTTGGTGCTTAGAAGCTTGCTTTTGCAAACTCCATGGGAGGGAAAGGCCCTGGCTGTGGGACACAGCGAGGCGAATGAGGGCTGGGGTAGAAGGTGCAGAATGACTAGCCATGTGTGGAGCTGCTGCTTTGGGGGATTTGGTCCTTGTAAAGTAGCCTTTCTTACCACTCTTCTCCTTTGTTCTTTCCTCTCACTGTACGATGAGACCAGATGGGTGTTGCTTCAAAGGAGAGTTGGACATCTAGAGAAACCATTTCGGATCTCACTGGAGTATGTTGCTAATGGGAACAAGAGCGTAGCGGCTGTGGATTCCTTTGCAATGAAGAACTGCAGTACAGGTAACATAGAGTATTTTATTGCTTCTAACTCATAGTCTTTTGATGCCTTTTTGGAGAGGACCATGATTTCTGACTGCTAGAACCTTCACAGAATGAAAGCTTTTTGTCAAGTCAATTATTTAAATAAATAATTTTTAAAAAAGGATCCCTTCCAGGGAAGAATTTTTTTTAATGTTGCCTTAGAAGTTTTTAAATCATTGAAGGAAACAAGTTTTTGGGTTGGTTTTTTTTTCCCCTTTGAAAGAATTTCTAGGAAAATTTCATTTTGGGAGAACCAAAGCAGGTATTCCTCCTGGCTTGCCAGGTGCCTATCCACACGACTTCACTTTCTGCAGCAGAGGAGTGGTTCCTAGACAGATAGCTTGCAAGCCATCTTTTTGATGTTCCTGATAACATATTTCAGGGTTGTTTTTTTTAAAACAACTGTGGAAAACTTGATCCTAATAAAGTATGCCTTTCTTTGGCAATGTTCCAAAGCCGTTATCACTGAGTAACCCCTAATAGCTCAATGTAGTGCGTGGAATTTTAATAACGGGCAACCTTAATGGGGGTTACTTTTTTAAATACAAGCTCCATAATCAATTTGAGTATGTAAATTTAGTGCTTCATGCCAGAAGCAGCTGCATTTTAGTTCTGCCTGCTTTATGGAGCATGTGAATCCTACTGAAATCTTTAGGTGGCATGTCAGCAAAGAATGCTATTACTTATAGCATTTAGCACGTTACCTTTTGTCCATTTTATTTATTTGGAGTACTGCTGAATTGAGCTGCATGTCCTTCTTTTCAGCCTATCTAGGACAGGGAAATCTGCTGGAGAATGTACATTATTTTGGTTATTTACATTGCTCTCCACAAAGACTAGTTGTATTAAGGGGTTTATTGCACTGTCCATATGTAACAGTGATCTCTAAGCTCCAACAAGGAACACCCTGACATTGTGCTGAAAGTGCGAGGCATGTTCGGACAGAATGCACTTGTTCTGCTGCTGCTGTGTGGAATGCATCTTGGTATATCTCTAAGAATGAAAAGAAAGATTTTCAATTCCCCAAAACAAAAAAGTAAATGGGACAGAAGTCATTCAAATCCAAAGTGCTTTGGGAATTCATTGCAACAAATTTAATGACAGACTACGGGAGATACTCAGCTCCCTTGAAGAAAGTATATGAATTCTTCTCTTGGGCGGGCTTGAAGGAGAACCATAGGTGATGGACAGTCAGCTGAGTGAAAGGATAATGTTGGCTGAGTGAGCTCATACTAATACTGGGCACCGTTCTGCAGATGACAGATGTCAGTCGCTCAGGCTATTAAGATATATTGCAAGCAAAAGAAGGAATAAATCTCCCATTTTGTTTATTCCCCTGCTCTGCTTACAGGACACAGTTTATAAATAATACCACCTACCACCAGGGAATAAAATCACTTGTTCTTTTTGCATTTGGTTGAAACTGCTAAGCCTTTTGCACACAGCTGAAGATGTGGTACTGTGTCCTTTTACGAGAAGGAAGGTGGTGACGAGCAGCCAAGGGTGGCACCTTAGGCTTAGAGAAAATACGGAAAGCAATAAGAAAAGATTAATCTAAATCTAATTTTTCTGCAGCTGTTAGAAGCCTTTGGGCACCTTAGCTACTTGGATATCCTAATGTCACTGAAGCACCTAAAAATTGGGTGAATCTGGGGAAGAAACATCTAAGAAACAGTAACAAGCCCGCAGCCTAATTTTTCTAAGCTTTTGAAGACCATATACACAATTGAAAAATAAATAAAGGCGCATAGACAATCTTAGGAAATTAAGCTACTGTTTTCATAGATGGGTGCAGGTGTGGATCTAAATTAGTTGCCAGCAGGAGCTTGAAGAAGGTATAAGTTTGAGGTTGGGATTTGCTTTTGATCATTGGGAATTCTATTTTTTGAGTTCTTTAATTGTGAAAAAGATGGTACTTTTACTGCATTTGAACTGAAAAAAATAACAGCCTATTTGGGATTGAATGAAGAATTAAAATTAGAAAAAATATTCAGATGCTGGTAAAATTCTGCAATTTTTTAAATTCTAAATTTAAAAATTTAAAAATTCTAGATTCATATCCCATTTAAATAAGATTTGTTGAGTTGAAACAACTCTATCATCACAGTGTCTTAATTGTGCTCCACAATTTCCATTCTTCATTCAACAGTGCAGCAGATTAGAAAATCGAAGTGTTTTGTCACTTGAATATCTTCACATTTCCTGGTTCCGGTCACATAATCAGTCTTGATTGGATTAGCTTGATAGAAAAAGGAAAGCCCTTACAAATTGAGGGGTTTCATTTGGTTTGGGTTGGTCTTTTTGGGGGGAGGGGTTGGTTTGCTTTTTTTTTTTTTAAATGCACAGGATTGGCCAAAACTGTAATTGGTGCATCTCTTATCCTTGCTGTAGTTCATCACCACTGTTCTTCTCATGCACTCCATCCTCTGGCTTTAATTCTTTAAGGGCTTCTTAGCACTTTGCGTGAGCTAAGTCCTTTTTATTTTTTTTTTCCAGAAAGTTTTCCTGAACCATAGAATTAGATTCTAATCAGAAAGTCCCTACAGTCAATAGAAAGGCTGCTTGGACTTCTATAGGTTTTGGATGAGGACAGTTAACAGGCATTGCCCATCATCCTACAGCCCATTGACTTTCAATTACTGTCTTAAATGTGAAGCAGATTGTTTTTGTCAGTGTGTAAAACCTAAACTATTGATTGTCTAATTTTCTTTCTTACAACTTACTGTTTAAATAAGTGCAGTATCCAAAGCAAAAAAAAAAATTACAAATTGCAGAGAAGTAATATATTAATTTAATAATGTCAGTTAAGAATTTGTTCCTTCTACAAGTAGAGTAATTGGTACAGTGGCATTTTATAGTTGATGGTAATTTCTAGTAATAAAAATAGAGTTCATTTCCTAAGTAATGTATCGACTTATTAATGATATTTAATGGGTTTCTTACTGATTTTTATTGCAGTTGTAAATTAATTAATTTGCTAACTTATTTCCAGAAGTCTTAATTAAAAGTACTTAATAGTAAGCACAAGTAATTGACAAGACATTGTTTTACTTAGTAGTGTTCGATTTACCAATTCTAAGTAACTTTTTAAGTAAGGGGAGTGGATATCAAATGCTTCTAAAACATGTTAAAGGTTTAATGATGCTCCGAGGCTGTTAAAAACAGTTATTTCAGACACTCAGCCTGTCCAACAGGAAGCACTTAGCTTTCAAGTTTTCAAGCTCAGTAAGCAACATAAAAAACATATTTATTTTTGACTATGTGTTGTTGATTAAGTTAATGCTTCTGTCCACTCAGCAATAGCTTTTTTCAGTGAATACTTGAAAGCACATAGAAATACACTCATTACCTTCAGAGCCGGTAAGTAGTTAGTTCTGTAACGATCTCATGGTTATAATACGTATGCAAATTTCTGAAAGTTGAAGTTAAGGTTGTACTAAAAGCAAAGTCCTTGATCCAAAGCAGAGGACCTCTCAAGAAAGGAAAAATTTTGAAGACCTGAAAGTGATTTTGCTGGAAAAAGAGATAGGGAAGAGTAAGAACATGGACTTGCAACATGTATGAAGAAAAGTGAGCAACTGACATAAAATTTTTCATGATTCTGTTTGATAAATAGTCTAGCAACAGATTTATGAATCAACTGCAGAAAATCAATAAGGGCTTTCTCCAAACAGGATTACTTATGTATCTGAATCATTACTAAAATGATGGTTTTGTGTATTCAGACAAAACACGAATATGTATCATTTCAGTTTTCCCACGTCTGCTCACTTTCTGCAGTTTGTCTTATAAATTAATTTGCTGACGGGATGTCGTGGTTAACTGAACTTAATGAAATACCAGTGAGCCACTTTTTGAAAACGAGTTCTTGATGCTTCCTACTGGAAAATTGCCTAGAAAAGTTAACCTCTTCCAAACCTACAACTGAAATAGTTTCAGCGTATCCAGTAGAATCATAGAACGGCTCCGGTTGGAAGGGACCACAAAAAAACATCTGGTCCAACCTTTCCTGGGAGAGGGAACCTAGGTGAAGATTATCTAGCACCCTGACCAGCTGCATCTTGAAGATCTCCAGTGATGGAGACTCCACCACGTCCCTGGGGAGGTTATTCCAGTGATTGATTGTTCTCGCTGTAAAATATTTAAACACAGGTTTCTAAGTGTTCCACTTAGTCTCACATGACACACTTACAGCTAATTTAGATATTAATCATTAATTCATAAAAAATGTTGTATAACTTTTAAGTAAGTTTGACTTGAGTAAAATTGCAAGATGTTTACAGAAGATTTATGGAGCAACTAAATTGTGTCAATTTTTTTTTTAATTAATTATTTGCTTAGTTGTAATTATGGAACAGTGGAGAGGAGACATGCACCTTCAGTGGAACCAGCTGTGTCATCTTATATGGTCTGGAGATCTACTGCTGCCCTGAAATTCAGGGGAACAGGTGAACAGAACCGTGAGCACAGTCAGTATTGTGCCGTTGTTATAAACCTGAAAAATAGACATAATTGAAAAAAAAAAAAAAAAGTCTTACCTTTCAGAAGTAGTTGTTTCTATTTGAAGTTTAGGACCAACATTTACCATAATACTTACTTGGCCTATCCAGGTAATTTTATGTAAAGGAAACTGAAGAATTTCCTTTGGCATTAATGCCATGGTTAAGGAGCTTGCCAAGCCAGAGGATAGATCCAGAGTTAATTGAAGTCAATGGGAATTATTCAGTATGTTTAGATGAAGTTCTGAGTATCCTTCATTTAAAAAAAAATAATCAGGCAGATTGGCTGCATTTTCCTTGGAGTGGCCTATGCTATTCATACAGTTCCACTGCATTGGTTTTCCTGTGGATCTAATTTCACTAAGTAGGCATTTGGAAAAGCCTTACTATTTTAAGAACGTTTGCCTCCAAATGCTTTGGCAACCACCTTCCTCCCCATTCACCTCTGCTTCCCCATGAGGTATGACTGATTATTCTGAC